CTCCATGCAAATCAGAAATTATAGCCAGTTTTACCTTTTTTTTTTATCACAGTCTGTTGGTTCAATAAAACAACTTGTTCTCAGTCATTTTAGTGAATCACATGAACAATAAAAGCCAAATGTACTCGCACGGTTCACTGTGTCTCCTGAGGTTGATTTTCCAAATCAGCAGATCTRAAGAACCTTGTTTATTGCTGCCCTCTGCTGACTTATTAGAATAAAGAAATAATAAAACTGCAGCAAATGCAAGATAAAAGAGAAAGGTTGTGCARGAAATGAAAGATCAAAGAACCCCTCAGCCCTTCAAGTTGCTTTTCTGAAAGGGAAAAAAACACCCATATCAGAAGAGATTATTCAATATGTTATAATTATATGTTATAAAACCATCATATCTCAGTTTGAGGAGTTCTTGGAGACGGAGACATTTCCGCCTGTTTTGAAGATTTAGAACCAAAGACGAAGGCTTCCTCGTCAAATTTTCCTGCAGCTCTGTGGTTCTGATGAATGCGGTTAGAGTCAGAATCCCAAGAAGTCAGCTGGTTGAATCAGGCCAGAGCAGGTTGGAAAAGACTCTTCTTAAAGAGGTGAATTCTTATTAGGAACTTTTAAGAAGAAAGAAGCATGTAATTCAAAAGAATGGGATAATACAGATTATTTAGTGCTAACTGTGGTAAACCAATATAAGAATTACCGTAATTTTTAATCTCTAACAATATCATTATACTTGAAATGACAATACTGTAAATCACTTTTCCATTGTTATTTTTTATTGCACTTTAGTTTCAGTTTTATTTAATAAGAAAAGTGTCTTGTTACCCAGCATGGTCCACCCCCACCCTCCAAAAAAATAATGTAAGATACATGAAGTGTCCCCGAATGACAAAATCAAGTGAGTGTAATGACTGCTCCGTAAACTGAGTTCACATGACAGCAAGTTAAAGACTAATGTTTTCCTTGATGAATAGAACAGACACCAAATGTCTGCCTTGGCTAAGGAAATGGTTTTTGTCTTAAGTGACTCTTATACAACTATTTTTAGTGCTATGTAAATCACTGATACAGTAATTTGGCCTGTGATGGATCTCTGTCATTATGTGTCTCCTGTCATTAAATTCTGATATGTCATTTTGATCATCAGGAAAACGTGGCAGCTGAAGGCATAAAAAGAGTTTTTAGTAATTCTGTACTTTTAGTAGATTTTTTCTCTTTATGTTTAGATGGTTTTTTATTTTATGTGTGGCTTAACTTAAAAATATTTCTATTGTTGAACTTGGAAAACAAAATGAGGTTTAATAACTCCCCCAGCTGTAAGATATTTAGTTAACATTCAGTTTTTGTTTCTTGTCTTATGAGTAATGACRCTGCTGCAATGCAGTCAATGTACAACTTTATTATTATAGTTGTTAATTGTTTTTTTTGTTATTATTATTTTCGTTTTAGGAGTTGTGTGACTAAGGTTAAAATAAGGATAAAAAATACCATATAATTTAGGTAGAAGCTATTATTACCAGTCACCAGTTTATTAAACTTAAGTCTTTTGAGAACTCAAATGCTTTGTAATAAATATTGACCGACAAAGTTTTATTTTTATTTTTACAACCTTAAATAAAAAAATTCAACCATACCTTTATTATCTTTGCCTGCTGAAATAAGCATTTCATCCCTTGGTAATTTTTCAAGGTAGGAACGTTTTTTGTTCTCCTTGTTTTCAGTGTGCTCTTTTTCTTGCGCACCGATGAGTTTTTGTTTACCTAGCAACAGGCAAGCGATGGGCAACGCGAACAGGCAAAAGATAAAACGTAGCTAAAGCTGTGTGCTTTATGAGGCTGTCGTTAGTTCTTTTGTGTGTTTTTTTCGGGGTTTTTTTTTCTTTCTCTTTGTTTGTTGGAGACACCGAGCTAACAATAACCAGACTTCCGGTTGTGATTTTTAATGTCTTTCAAGGAGTCATCTCGTCCATCGGACGATGTCGAAGATGAGGAAGCTAGTTTCTACATGCAGTGCAGAGCTGCGTACCTTGCTGTCTTCAAGTCCAGTTTAACAAATATTACTTCGAAAAAGCAGTTGTGTCGTGGTAAGCTAGCATGTAAATGTTGTTGTTGTTGTTGTTGTTGTTGTTGTTGTTGTTGTTGTTGTTGTTGTTGTTGTTGTTGTTGTTGTTTTATTTCATTTTTTTGGCTAGTTGGAAACACTTTACTCCAGAATGCATTTAAACTGGATTAGTCTAACATTTTCTTCATTCATTGTGCATTAAATGTGCTTGCCACTTTCAAATAAATAAATAAAACATAAATTTACGAGGATATATATCTGAAATCCTTGCTATAATATATAAAAATGATATGAATTCAGAAAGACAACAGGCTCTTATTATTGTTTGACTCATTGTTCCACTTTTTTTGTCTTTATATTCTCCTCAGCTCTTCAACAGGCTGGTAGAAATCCCTCACAAGCTTCTCTCGGGGAGTATTGGACAAACACAACRTCTAAACTGAACTTTGACGACTTCTGTGAGATTCTGAAACATGAGAAGAAAACTGAGGAGGCAGAGCTGATGAGAGCATTCAAAAAAATGGATGTCAACGGTGATGGCTTCATCACGTACAGTGAACTGGAGAAGACTCTAACCACTGTGAGTAGCCTTAAACCTTTCTATTTGGCAGCTTTGCTCTTTTTTGTTGTATTTATGTTCTAACGTATTCTACTTTAAGAAAGATTGTCTTAGTAACACCACTGGCCATTGTTAATTTGGGGATATACAGCTGGTAAAATAAGTATTGAACACGTCAACATTTTTCTCAGTAAATATATTACTAGAGGTGC